TAAAATAATGTTTGATAACTTTTTTATATAGAAAAAATGTGCGTCACCTTCAACAAAAAAATTTTGCCCCTAAATCAATGGTAAGTCCTAGCTCCGTCATACTTGCACTTTATTATACTGAAATTGAATGGGCTAAAAAACTACATACTCAGCTTTTTTCTAGAGAGTGTAAATAAAAATTGCAATATTTGAATGAAAGTTTGCAGAATTTTCCTTAATTTTGTACAAGGTTTGGAACTTTGATTTTTGGGGTTTTTGTTGTAGAATTAACCATATTTTTATACAAAATTAACGAAAAATAAAATATTTAAAAAATAGTTGCCCGTATTGTAAAAAATTCGCTGTACCTAAACTTTATTGACTGACATGAATGGATGAATTATAACGAAAAATCTCATATCTGAACAATCAGTTGTATGGGAGCTATAGGTTATAGTTATCCGATCTTTTTAATTTTCACTGTAAGTTTTCTGTTGATAATTATTGAAAACAGTGCGGAATTTCCTGTTCCCAGCTATATAAATGGAGGAGTTATAACGAAAAATTTTATATCTGAACAATCAGTTGTATGGGAGCTATAGGTTATAGTGAACCGATCTTTGTAATTTTCACTGTAAGTATTCTGTTAATAATGGGTGCAAGTGCTGCAAAATTTCATGTTCGTAGCTGCATAAATGGAGAAGTTATAACGAAAAATCTCATATCTGAACAATCAGTTGTATGGGAGCTATAGGTTATAGTGACCCGATCTTTTTAATTTTCACTGTAAGTTTTCTGTTGATAATTATTGAAAACAGTGCGGAATTTCATGTTCCCAGCTATATAAATGGAGGAGTTATAACGAAAAATTTTATATCTGAACAATCAGTTGTATGGGGTCTATAGGTTATAGTGACCCGATCTTTGTAATTTTCACTGTAAGTATTCTGTTGATAATGGGTGCAAGTACTGCAAAATTTCATGTTCGTAGCTGCATAAATGGAGAAGTTATAACGAAAAATCTCATATCTGAACAATCAGTTGTATGGGAGCTATATGTTATAGTGGTCCGATTCTTCCGGTTCCGACAAATGATTAATACATTATAAAAATACACCCACCTACCAAATTTGATCCGGATATCTCTAAAACTGAGAGACTAGATTGCATACAAACAGACAGACAGACGGACAGACTGACATGGATAAATCAACTCAGCTCGACGTTCTGATCATATAAGTATACATTTTAATGGGTCTATCTCTTCTTATTCTGGTACTTACAAACATCGGACCAAAGTTATAATACCATTTCATGCTCATGAAAGGTATAATTACCAAATTTGTATGAACATAATAGTCTGAACACATTAAAAGCACGAGCTATGTACCACCGTCGTCAAACTATTTTTCCACGTATTCTTATGTAGATAATTATTTTGGCGGCGACAGAGCTACACCTTGACTTTGGTTGTGACCAGCTTAGATGTATATATATTTTTCGAGCGACAGATAAGGCTCCTCCTCTTCTTTTATGACAAACTCATACAAATTCATGATGTCATTGAAGATGAAAATGAACAATTTACAGTTGTGTTCGTCTTTTTCAATGTGTTCAGGCTACAACAATTTACAAACATTTAAAAGGTGTTTAGTATATAGTCTTTTACATAAAGTATTTTACATTACTTAACACGAAAACATTAATTAAAACATGAAACCAGCAAATGTACGGATAAACGATAGATAAAATTTACTTTTACAGTTTTATGAGTGGGTCACATTCGTATTTAATTGCAAAATTTTAATTAGTACTGCAAACTTATTTTCTTTCACCATTGGTTCCAGCAGGTAAAAATGATCCAAGAACCTGATTTGTGGGACTGTAGGGGTTGTGGTAGCTGCCATATTGGGAAAATTGGTGGTTTCGTTAAACAGCTATATTGCACACTCATACCAAAAGTTCTGTGTTGTCAAGGCAAATTGTAACGTGAAAGGGCCTTTAAAATTTTTTGCTATCTTAAGGTGCAGACTTATACATATGTACATAAGCAAAATTTTATGCAACTGTAAGAAGGTTAAAAGTTTAAAATTTTTATAAGTTATAAGTTAGTATTAAAAACTTAAAAGACTTATGTTGAAAAAAATAACCTAATTGAAAAAAATTACCAAATTCCTTCCAAAAACAAAGAAAATTACCAGTTTTGGTAAAAAATTACCAAAGCGGCAACGCTGCCCACGACACTTAATTCCCTCTCGCATTCGTAATTGACTCTCTCATTCGTAATTGGCGCCCCAATTACACTTCGAATTACGTAATTCGCTATACAAAATTTTGAGAGCAAATTACGAACAAATTGCTGCCGTATCTAATTTTAATCGGAAATTTATGGAACTCAGCTGTCAGTGAAAGAGAGAACAGAAAAAATCAAAACAAAGAAAGAGAGGAAATGAAGGAAAAACGCAATGAATTCTCAAATCGAATTAGGAATGAGTCGTGTAAACGGGGTAATTCACCATAGTAGTTTAGAAGCGAACTACGTAATTGGCAGTGTTCGTGGGGACATCCTATAAAACGGCGTTTCCACGACAACCGAATCACGTGGTTCGCTCTCTCAATTACACTATGCGACAGTCAAAATCGGGATGGGATGAAACCAACGGGAAATGTTATATCGGTCAAAAACAAGTTATACGTGGCCCGGCGTTTCGCTGGGTCACGTCTAGGAATCGAGATATATCGATTTGAAGTTAGTAACTATCATATAGGGGAAATTGTCACCTTTGGTGGTCTTTTTTTTTACATAACACGAGAACCACTAGTCCGATTTTGCTCAAAGCAAAATGAGACATAGACCATGAAAATCGATGGACGCGTTTCGCTTTTATTCACAATTAATTAATTAATTTTGCTTAAAGGTTATGTGACTTTGCATGAAAGAAATACGACTTGCCTTTTTTTCCGTTTTGGATTTTTTATGAATTTAAAAAATAAAAAAATTTTATATTTTAGGCAAAAAATATATTTTTTCTTCATACATTTATTTTTACCGGCAAAACTGTTGATTATATAGAAAAACGTTATATGAACAGATTAAATTAAATTAAATTTATTTGAGCAAAATCGGACTAGTGGTTCCCGAGTTATGTCAAAAAAAAAAGACCACCAAAGGTGACAATTTCCCCTATATGATAGTTACTACCCTGCAGTGAAAAGCTGTACTAGTATGCACAAATTCCAGTTCATGAACTATTATTTATGGATAAAAGTCATACCAGTTCGTTATGAACTATAATTATACCAGTTCCTCATAGAAAAAAGTAAACTAGTTGGTAGAAATTCTAGTTCGTTGACTAGTATTCGATGGAGAAGTCATACCAGTTCGTTATGAACTATAATTATACCAGTTCCTCATAGAAAAAAGTAAACTAGTTGGTAGAAATTCTAGTTCGTTGACTAGTATTCGATGGAGAAGTCATACCAGTTCGTTATGAACTATAATTATACCAGTTCCTCATAGAAAAAAGTAAACTAGTTGGTAGAAATTCTAGTTCGTTGACTAGTATTCGATGGAGAAGTCATACCAGTTCGTTATGAACTATAATTATACCAGTTCCTCATAGAAAAAAGTAAACTAGTTGGTAGAAATTCTAGTTCGTTGACTAGTATTCGATGGAGAAGTCATACCAGTTCGTTATGAACTATAATTATACCAGTTCCTCATAGAAAAAAGTAAACTAGTTGGTAGAAATTCTAGTTCGTTGACTAGTATTCGATGGAGAAGTCATACCAGTTTGTCATGGACTATAATTATACCAGTTACCCGCAGTTAAAAACTAAAGTAGTGTAGTTTATGCGCCATTATTTAATAGCAATTTCGTACTAGCTCCCAAGGAAGAGATTAGAATTATACCAATTGCGAAATCATCAAAACAAACGCATCCATGGGTAGAAGAATATATCAACATCAATATATAAGACCATTTCCTTCAAATGCACTTGCATACAGAAATTAAAGCCGTTTCAATAAAACCCGATATTCATGTTTTTGCCTATCCTGTAAATGTTGAAATAGGCATTCACGTTATTTATAAGCATAGGTCCTACTTACATTCAACTGACAAATATGTATGTACCTTCAAAAATCAGAAGTTATCGTCGAATTTATCTACTTTTCAACGATTTTGTTTTAAAGACACTTTGTATTTATACACTTAACCCTTCTTGTATGACCTTTCCTTTTAATTATTTAAATCGTCATCACATATTTCGTCTTAATTTTGAAATAAACAAAAAAAAATACTGTTAAAAAGTATTTCCCATACTTTTGCTGTATGTATATCGAAACAAATAGCTTTATTTCCATATTTCACGAATCACAGAAAGTTTTAAATCTTAGATTTTTGCATGAAAGTCATAAGTAAGTCTTAATTTAAATTTTTATGATTCACATTAACTTCAGATTTCAGAAATGCATCAAGCCGCAGTCTTTTTTATTTCTGGGGGAAACTTTCCATTATGGCCGTTCGTTAAAGGTACGGTGGGCGAAGGGGGAGTGGGCATGCCACCTCCAACCGACCTTTTTGGAGAGGGCATGAACCGCCATTGACAAAAATGCAACCCCCGACCACCTAGGTGCCCTATGGTTCCCTACGGACCCCTTAGAAAAATGGCCAAAAATCGCATTGATTGATGGAAATTTTCCAATATGAGCAACCATGGTTAAATACCGAATACGCACTTAGGGCCGGTTGTTCAATGTCTGGTTATCACTACCACTACACTATCGACGATTTCGACATCATGCATGTAACATGTGATCGATAAAGCAGTAGTTGTGCTTAACCGGAGCTTCTACCTCCGATTTGTGCTAATCAGACATTGAACAACCGGCCCTAAAAGCCGTTTGCACCATGTCTGGCTAATACTAAGGGCCGGTTGTTCAATGTCTGGTTATCACTACCACTACACTATCGACGATTTCGACATCATGCATGTAACATGTGATCGATAAAGCAGTAGTTGTGCTTAACCGGAGCTTCTACCTCCGATTTGTGCTAATCAGACATTGAACAACCGGCCCTTAGTTGCGCAAATAACGTACATACATATATTCATAAATTATACTGATGCTTTGTCTTGATGTATTTCATGGTTATAAACTCGAAATATTTGGATATCTTGGTGATTGAGTTAATTATTCTCCACTTTTGTCATATCCTTTACAGCATACTCGCGACTATCTCATGATCCGTACCTAAAATATAAATGTATCATATTAATATTAAAGAATTGAGTCTTATTCGAAAAAAATAATAATAAAATTACTCACATTATTATATTCAATACATTGGCTTCTGGTTAAGTTTCTGCATCAGCCAGTAATAGTCATCACCATTTTGTCCTGCGAATACTCTGCGCTCCATTCCCTATGGCTAAGCAGCTGATTATCTGCAACAAATTAATTGTTTAAATACAATTTGGAAGATACAAAATATATTTACCTTCTTTTCGACATAATAAATTGCTGAAGCAAAAATAAACAAAGCCAATGCGACTTGCAAATATGTATCTGTCACAATTTTCCAGCTGTCACAAGTTTCGAGCAGGGCTGCCGTTTTGATCAGATTCTACCAAAATTGATAGTATCATTTTTCTTTTTGCTTTGGTTGGTTTTTTGGGGCGTATTCATTAAGTTGGGACTTAAAGTTAGTTAAAGCTTGTTGAGATAATTTTTATTGGGTTATCGTGAATAAAGCTACAGCTAACTTTAAGTGCCGGTAATTCTCTAGGGTGGATTAGCAACCCCTAAAAAAGGTGCGGAAAAGTCGGGAGGGGTACCAAACGACGCGTTTCGGCCCCCCTAATAACAATCCGGAGGGGGGAGCTAATATTATTAACCAATTAAAAGTTATGAACAAAAAACTTTTGTTAAATTTCGTTGTTTTCTATGGGCAATTACACCGACAAAGATTCACTAAATCACCTGTTCTCACTTTTTAAACACTATTAAAATATATAATTTAACTTATTTATTAAAGAAACACATAGTTTTATCAACCTAAGATAGATTATTTTGTTATTAAAAAGAA